TCGGGACAGAGCCCACCGCGACGCGTCGTTGAGAGGCGCAGGGGCGTGTGCAAAGGGAGGGACGGCGCGCACCGCGGCCACACCCAATAGCCTCCGAAACCGGATGCCGGCCCAGCTCCGGGGACTCGAAACCACAACGCCCGGCAGGCAACGCGCGAGCCGAGCTCCACCTCCGCCTGCTGCGTGCGGAGCCTGCGGGGTTGGGGCAGTGAGGAGAGCAGCGGGGTCCTCCGAGACCACGTCGCCCATGGCGAGGCCTTCCCCCAGCGCCTCCTGGGGCACGTGGGCACCTCCTGCCTCTCCCTACAGCCCTTCCCTGCAGGCACGCTTCACAGTCCTGGGCGCCTACACCTGCAAAGCACTCCGGGTCTGCCTGACTCCGTATCAGCACGAAGGGCCTGGGGGAGCTCCAACTGCCCCACAGGGCGAGTCCACGCGCAGCCCTGGGCTGGGGGCGGAGGACGAGAAGCCCAGACTCCCCACACCCAGTTGGCTAGGGCCAAAGTGACTTAAGTCCCGGACTGGGAGCTTCCGGGCCCAATGCCCCGTGTCCTCCAAGTCAGGCCCCAGATGCCAGGTACTGTTGGAGGAAATAGGGTCTCCCCAATTTCCGAGGGGGAGGAGGACCCTTGGCTCATAGGGGCAGGCCTTGCCCAAGGGCACTTCACAGTTGGCGATGGAGCCAGAATCCTACCTAGATCTCCACCCTGTCTCTTGCCCAGTGTCCACGACAGAAAACCGGCCTTCTGCCTCAGGTACTTACCCCACGTTTGTGCCGAAGGAAGCCGCGGGGGTTCTGAGTCCTGGTGCCACTCACTGCACACACTGGCCCAAGCTCCACGTGCCTCCCCATGGTGAGCATGGATTTGCTGAGTGAAGCATCTCAGGATGGGTACCACGGGCACAGCCTCGGAGTCTGGCACGGGGAAGGCTGCCCTGAGCAGGGCTGAGGAGGAGAGGAGAGGAGGCCGAGGGCAGGCAAGGGTTGGTAGGATCTACCAGAAACTGGTATGTTTGGCCCGTGGTGTATTCTATCAGAAGATGTGGGAAATAAGGACCCAAAGAGGGCGGCCCTCTCCCCAGCTGTGACCTCTGCCAGTCAGGGCTCAGAGGAGCAGCTGCAGCTGACAGGCCAGGTCCCAGGCCAGTATCTGAAGGGGAGAGGTCCCTGAGGGGAAGGGCCCAATCAGAGAGGACCCTATCTCCAGGCGGCAGGGCATGACCCAGGGCCAGAGTGCAGCAGGGGGCACAGAGGAAAGGCACCCTGTGCCCAATCCCTCCCTCACACCAGACGTGAATGAACAAGGTGGGTCCATTTGGGGAAGTAAGGAGGGAGATCCAGTGTAGCCCATGCAGGAACGCATCTGACACTGAGCATCTTCCTACCCACACTGGCACAACCAAGGTGGCAGTCCGTCCTGGGGGCAGGGATTGGCCAGCCAAGTGCACTGTTTCCATTCTCTAGGCCAGTGATGGCGAACCTTTTGAGCTCGGTGTGTCAGCATTTTGAAAAACCCTAACTTAACTCTGGTGCCGTGTCACATATAGAAATTTTTTGATATTTTCAACCATAGTAAAACAAAGGCTTATATTTTTGATATTTATTTTATATATTTAAATGCCATTTAACAAAGAAAAATCAACCAAAAAAATGAGTTCGCGTGTCACCTCTGACAGCGTGTCATAGGTTCGCCGTCACTGCTCTAGTGCCTGAGCTGAAGAAGGGCCCAGTGGCCCTGGCCAGTGTGGCTCAGTTGGAGTGTTGCCCAGTAAACCAAAAGGTCATGACATACCTGGGTTGTGGGTTCGATCCCTGGTCTGGGTGCATGTGGAAGGCAGCCAGTTGATGTTTCTCTCTCACATGGATGTCTCCCTCCCTTCCTGTCTGTCTAAAATCAATAAACATATCCTTGAGTGAGAATTAAAAAAAAAGAAGGGGCCTGGCTGGCATGGCTCAGAAATTGAGCTTTAACCTATGAACCAGGAGGTCACGGTTCGATTCCCGGTCAGGGCACATACCTGGGTGGCAGGCTCGATCCCCAGTATAGGGTGTGCAGAAGGCAATTGATCAATGACTCTCATCATTGATGTTTCTATCTCTCCCTCTCCATTCCTCTCTGCAATCAATATTTTTGTAAAAGGTACAAACTTCCAGTTATAAGCTTAATAAGTTCTGGAAATCATGACTATAATTAACAATATTGTATTGTGTATTTGAAAGTTGCTAAGAGAGTGGATCTTAAAAGTTGTCATTGCAAAAAAAATGTATAACTGTGAGGTGATAGATGTTAAGTAAACTTGTGGTAATCATTTCACAACATATACATATATCAAATCATTATGCTGTACACCTTAATCTAATACAATGTTATATCTCAATTATATCTTAGTAAAACTGAGGAAAACATTAAAAGGTAGAGATGACCAGGTTGGATAATAAAGCAATAAGTATCTGTTGCTTGCACATAAGTTGAAGACAAAATGTTAAGGCCATACTTTAAAAACTGATAATGGCATACAGCTAGAACTAATACAAAGCAGTGTTAAATGTAAAGTGTAATTTTAAAAAGAGGCTGCACTGCAGCTGGAATCCTGGAATCACACACACACAAAACAACAAAAGCTGACATGGCTATACTATTATACTATTGCACTTTAAAGCAAGAAAATATCAGATAAAGAGGGATATTCATTAGCATTTTACCATTTTATTTCAATTAACTTTATTTGCAATAGTGTGCCCCAGTTCTTTCTTCTCATCTCCATTGTCTGTCTACTTAATCCTAGGTACCTTGTGCCCCTCCAGCTTGCTGGGAGAGTGTTATGAGCGGAATTGCATCCTTCCACCAAATCCATATGTTCGAGTTCTAATCCCCAGGACCTCAATGGGACTGTGTCTGGAGATAGGGTCTTTAAAGGGGTAATTTAGGTTAACTGAGGTCATTGGGGTGGACTGTAATCCAATATGACTGGTGTCCTTATAAGAACAGAAAAGACCACGTGAAGACACAGGGAGAAGATAGTCCATCCAAAAGCCAAGAGGAGAAGCCTCAGAATGAAACCAACACCACCAAAACCTTGATCTTGGACTGTAGCCGCTAGAACGTGAGAAAATTAATTTTTGTTGTTCAAACCACCCAGTCTGTGGTGCTTTGTCATGGTAGTCCTAGAAAACCAGCACAGACAGGGGGAGCTCTGCTCAGTCACAGGCCAGGCTGCCGGCTGCCAGTACAGCGGTGGTGGTGGGAGCCTCTCCTGCCTCCTCAGCAGCGCTAAGGATGTTCAACTGCAGCTTAGGCCTGCTCCCTATTGGCAAGTGGACATCCCCTGAGGGGTCCCGGGCTGCCAGAAGGATGTCTGCCAGCTTAGGCTCAATCCCCCAGGAGGCGGGCCTAAGCCAGCAGGTGGTCATCCTCCGAGGGGTCCCAGAGGGCACAGGCTGGGCTGAGGGACCCCGAGTGCACAAATTTTTGTGCACCGGGCCTCTAGTTCTATATAATAAAGAGCTAATATGCAAATGGTCATCATACCCTCACACCGTTATGCCGTAATGGCTCAGACACTCAACACTAGGGAGAGAGGAATAGGGACCAGCCAGGCTGCGGCCCAGGAGAGGGACAAGCCACCCGCCCCACAGTCCCGGGTGCCTGCAGCTGTGGCCCAGGCAAAGCCGCCCGCCCACGGTCCCCTGTGGCTGTGGCGTCCCCTGCGGCTGCAGCCGGCCCAGGCGAAGCCAGCCCGGGTCCCAGATGCCTGCGACTAGCCGGAGGAGGAAATCCTGGGTCCCGAGTGCGGGGTGAAGCAGAGGCGGTTAGGGGCAATCAGGCTGATAGGGAAGCAGTTAGGGGTGATCAGGCAGGCAGGCAGGTGAGTGGTTAGGGGCCAATGGTCCTGGATTGTGAGAGGCAGTCAGACATCCCCCAAGGGGTCCTGGATTGGAGAGGGCACAAGCTGGGCTGAGGGGACTCCCCCCCCGGGGCACGAAATTTGGGGGAGGGTTCCCCCTCAGCCCAGCCTGCGCCCTTTCACAGTCTGGGAGCCCTCGGGGATGTCCGACTGCCATGGAGGTGGGAGAGGCTCCTGCCACTGCCACTAAGCTCGCCAGCCGTGAGCCCGGCTTCTGGCCGAGTGGCGCTCCCCCTGTGGGAGTGCACTGACCACCAGGGGCAGCTCCTGCATTGAGCGTCTGCCCCCTGGTGGTCAGTGCACATCATAGCAACTGGTCATTCTGCTGTTAGGTCGATTTGCATATTAGCCTTTTATTATATAGGATACACACACACAGAGGCCTGTGGAGGTAACTTGGAGTTGTGTTTGCAAAGCTGGGGGTGGGGGTGCAAACAGTGCTGCCTGGCATTCTGGGGCACCACCTTTTCCCTACTGGGAAACCATTCACTGGGCAGGGAAACTCAAGCCAAGCAGAGGCTCCCAGCTGGGCTCCAGCATCATGGCAGCCAAACCTGCCCCTCTAATCCATTCTCCACATGACATCAGGAGTGAGTCACTCTCTTGCTTAAAAACCTCTGTTCTTAGAATAAACCTCTGATTGCCCCTACAAAGTCTTGCAGTATCTGCAACCAAATCCCAGTTCCGACGCTTTGGCCACGTGTGCTTCTTTCCACTTGGTGGACATCCTGGGCTCACTCCTATCTCTGGGCCTTTGCACTTTCTGTGCCAGCTGCCTGGGTTGCTCTGCCAGACTATGGGTTAAATTAAGTCCCCCATGTGACCCCATCTTGGCACCTGCTGACTCTTCCTAATGGTAACCAAATCGGGGAAGATGTAGATTTATTTGTGTAGAGTCTCACTGACAAGCTCCCAGGGGCCTGGACCTTGTCCATCTTGCCTTCTGCTGGCACACAGTAGGTGGTCAGGAAACATCTATGGGATGAATTAGCAACACAGAACATGGTGCTGGGGACAACAGCAGCCTCTCACAAACCTGGAGGCCCTGGGCCCTTCTCAACCTGCTCAGAAGACTGAGCCGAATCCCCTGGAACCATTCGGTCCAATCCAAAAATCAGCACAGTGGCCACAACAGTAACCCCCACTCCCTCCTGGAGTCGGACCTCACTGATGTCTTACACATGAAACAGACTGCAGCCACAAGCTGGTACTTGCACTGCTGTAAGGGTGTCAGACCACCATTCGCCACTCAGCAGTCCGGCCTCTAAGAAACAGGTGAGGTCCTGCAGTGCTACGCGTGGAAAAAGGAATGAACAGGATATTGCTGGATGATTTTATTACTATAAATATACAGTAAAAAGGAACAAAAACTAGCCAATCAGAATACATCAAATGATAGCATGTTTAAGTCCAAGACAGGGTACTGCATCCTGTCATTTGGAGTACTGGCACCAATGCCAACGGCAAGAGCCCAGGATGTTGGTGGGTGATGAGGGCAAGGAGAGAGACAGCCTGTATGTGTGCACATGTGCACCCATGAGCACACCAGTGGGCGGGAGTTGGGGGGTGGGGGGGAGACAGGGAGCCAAGCGGCTGAGGAAGGTGGCCTGAGTGTGGCCGAGAGCTGTGCATAAGGCAGCGCTCTGCTCACAGCCCATTGGAGAGAGAACAAGGACCCTACTGGACAAAGCCCCCAGCTGTGTGGATGCTCCCAGAACCATCATCCTCAGAAAGCGAGCTCCTCTGCACCCGCTAACCCAAGGCCCAAAAGTATTGGCCCCTTGGGGAGCTGCACAGACCCACCCACCCACCAGGCCAAGGTCCCTGCTTGGGCAGCCTGTGCCTCCTCTGCTTTTCTATTGCCCAGGTGGTTTATCTTAAGAAAATGACAAGGCCACTTCAAATGGGACCCTTCTCCAGGAGGCAGGTCCCACCACAGGAGCCCCAGACAGAACAAATCAAAGAGAAACACCGAGTGACATTTAAATGACACAAAGGGAGCAGAAAAGTTGCTCAGATCCCTCCCTGAGCGGGTGGACAAGCTGAGCGGAGGCCCCTCCACCTGGAGGGGGTCTGAGGACGTGTGCAAAGCCACCTCTGAGAAGGTGCAGGGCCTGGAGAGGGGCCACTGGACCAGTGGTCGGCAAACTCATTAGTCAACAGAGCCAAATATCAACAGTACAACGATTGAAATTTGAGAGCCAAATTTTTTAAACTTAAACTATATAGGTAGGTACATTGTTATTAACTTAATTAGGGTACTCCTAAGGCTTAGGAAGAGCCACACTCAAGGGGCCAAAGAGCCGCATGTGGCTCGTGAGCCGCATTTTGCTGACCACGGCACTAGACCAACTGCTGCCAATAGGCTGTGCACTGCACCTCTGCCCCTGGGAAGAGGCAGGCCCAAAACCAGACCTGGGCCTCGAGTGCAGAAACGCAGGCTGCGCAGGGCCGCAGGGAAGGGCTGCGAGCTATACAGCCCTGCACGTAGGGCCTGCGCGGGAGGGGAAGCAACAGAGGACACAAAGCAGCAGTGCCAGCCAGGCCATGAACTCGGGGGAAGGGCACAGGCATCGTTTCCTTCATTGACCGTGACTCGGATCCCCCTTCCTTCCCTTCCCCAACAAGCCCCCCCAGTACTACCCCCTGGGAAGACAGTACTTCACCCACCGATAAATTCTCTCCTGCCGATTTGCTGAGTTCTCAGGGTGTCAGCCTCCCACTGGCTGGGGGGCTGGATAAAGCCAGTCTGGGACATGTGGGTGGCCAGCCTCCAGCTCCAGCCATTCAGCCAACAAGAGATTTGGGGGAACTCAGAGCTCAGTGCCCAAGACAGAAAGGGGCTGTCCTTCATTGTGTACCATTTACAAATACAGAGACCGCAGGAAAAAAGGTTTGTCAGGGGGACAGGCCACTGTGCTCTTCAATCAAGGGTCGCAGGGCCCCTTGGAGCCGTGGCTATGAAGGGTGTGCAGATAGGAGAGGCCAGGGGTCTCAATGGAGTCCAGACAGCCCCTTGGCAAAGTCTGGGGAGCTGAGGGCTCCATGCTGCCAGCCTGGCCAGGCTCTCAGAGTTGAGTCAGGCGGTGGCCTCCACGTCAGGACTGGGGCCACCAAACAGAGGCTAGGTGGGGCCAGTGGCGAGGAGGCTCCGGCGTCTTCATGGAGATGGACCTTCCTGCAGGTGGGAGCAGAGGGAGGAGGGTCAGGCTTCAATGAGTCTTCCCGCCTCACCTGCTCCCTTCACCCCTGCAGGCTCCAGGTTCCTACCAACTTTAAAACCTGGAGGGCAAGGCCAGCCTGCACCCACCTCTGCGCATGCACGTCTGTGGTGCCGGCAGCAGCTGTAGCCCTGGAACAGAACAGGGCACCTTGGGCTGCTGACCCCCAAGCCTCCTGCCCTTGGAAGGTCTGTGCTCCTGGAAACTGACCAGCCAGTTCGCAGAGCTTCCTGACTAACCTAGGCTGGGATTGGTCAGCCCCAGGCAAAAGTGAGTGGACGTACAGCCAGTGCTCAGAGCAGACCCAGGAGCCTAGCCTGCCCTCCTCAGAGGCCTATTGTTACCACAGTTGCCTCCCCAATCCTGTGAAGTGCTCTGTCCCTGGACAGGGTGTCCCCTTTGCCTGGGTGCTGGTGTGAGGATCCCTGACTGGGGGTTGCAGCAGCAGAGGGACCAGCACACTTTTCAGAGCTGCAGAAAGCATGGTCACCCACCCACCCACTTGAAGGTGGGCTCCACTGGCATCTTCACATAGCAAACCAAGCAGTGCGTCTGCCACAAGTCGTCTGCGACACAGACCCTCGGGTAAGGGGACTATTTTCGTAGGCGCTGTGGCTGTGTGCAAGTCAGCTCTGCCAAGCGAAGTATATTTCTCTGTAGCTCTGACCTGTTTCCTACTTCTGGAGGTTTTACCTAAATTGCAACACTGAACATCTTCCAGAGTGGAGGCTGGGACCAGCTTTATAAAAGTGTAGGACCCTGCCCTGGCTGCTGTGGCTTAGTTGGTTGAGCGTCATCCCGTGCACCAAAGGGTCACTGGTTTGATTCCTGGTTGGGGCACATGCCTGGCTTGCAGGCTAGATGCCCAGAATGGAGCGTGAGGCAGCCAACCGATGTTTCTCTTTCCCCCCCTCTCCTTTCCTTTCTCTCAAATCAATAAAAACATTTTTTTTTTAAAGAATAAAAGTGCCCGACAGAGGGTAAGATTTGTCAGAAGAAATGTGTGAGGAGGACAAGAGGTTTTTGTGGGAATGTAAGAGCAGTCGTCAAAACAAGTGGACAGACACCACAGCTTGGGCTCAGGACAGCTGACCGGGAGGAAGGCCAGACACCAACCTGACCTGGTGTCTCCAGCTGGGGCTGCTGGACTCTGCTGCCAAGAGTCCTGCTAGAACGTTCCACACCACACTCATCTGAGAAACCCAGGGCCACCGAAGGCACCAGGCTCTGTATCATCAGACTTCCCAGAGCCACTAATGTCACATAAAGGAGGGGAAGGGGGCCCAACACATATGGCCTATGTCTCAGTGGTACTCTTGGAACTGCCTTCTATAAAATGTCTGTCTGGGTCACCCAGGTAGGAGGCACCTCCCTATCAGGTGGGGAGTCAACCTCATATGACTTGCTAATAGACTGATATGAGTGTGCTGGTGGTGTTCTGGAAGGTTCCAGAGGTGGGTAGGGGGACAGTTTAGTAGCAGTAATGATGGGGGTCTCAGGTAAGGTTGGGTCCCCATTTCTGGGGCCCTAAAGGCTGGAACAGCCTGACTGGGCAGCCTGGTCCCGATGGGAGAATTTCTGGCCCCAAAACCAGCATCACACCCCCAGGACCACCTCTTTGGGGCAAAGGGGCAGCAGCGCTGGGAGAGCTCTCGACTTAGAATCCAGGACCCAAGGGAAGACAGGATGTGGAGGAGGCTGGGAAATGGGGAGGAACCCCCTGGAGGGAGCAGGAGAGGGAGAGGTAGCTGGGGGATTTCCTCGCTAACCCCTGCCAAGGATGCCCCTCGGAGCCACCCACCACGAGCACAGCGGCGGTCACGTACCAGCTTACTCCTCGATGCCAACAGAACAGGAGTCGGGTGCCTGGGCTGTGCAGAGAGAGACGGAAGCCTGGTTAGCAAAGGCTCGATAGACAGCACACCCCACAGCAGATGCACTGACCTTAGGACAAGTGGCCCTGAGAGGGTGGGGACTGGAAATGAAAACCCACACCAACCGATGTGCTGGAACAAAAGACGGGCATCGGCTGAAAATGTATTTCCTGAGAAGGAATGCTGGGCCAATTCTTACTCAGAGAAACTCAGCCTGTGGAAGGATTGGGGGGCCAGGCAGTGCTGAACCCCGCTGGAAGGTGGAGCCCAGGAAGGGCTGTGGGGACACAGGCATCTAGGTTTTCCATTTATAGATTCCCCCAATGTCATTTTCCCCACCAACAGGGAACACTAAGAGTCACTAAACAATGCTTCATCCCTCCGGGTGGCTGTGCAGTTGTTACAAAGAATGAAGACACCCCAGTGTACGTGTTCACATTCTTAAACACACATGTGAAAGATGCTCAGGATCTCCCCTAACTGAAACAAGCCAGTAGCAGAATAGCGGGCCCAGCATGTGACTAGAAGGCATGGACGCGTGCTCACACAGCTGTGCGCCCTGTGAGGACCCCTGCCCACCCCCAGCTGCAATCAGTGGTGCCTGTGGGGAGCAGGTGCAGGTCGCTAACAGCACCCGCTTCCTGTCTGAGCTCTGAGAGGTGCCGAGATCCCACCCTGCCCTGCAGACTGGACAGGCGCAGAGCCAGGGTGGAGCCGGGCTCAGGAGCCGGATTCTGCCCACCTCGCTGTCCAGTCAGGCCCTGAATGCAGACTCTGGCCTCTCCTCCACCACTTCCATAACCAACTGCTTCCCGCCCCACATGTCAGCTAGAGCAGGGGTCCTCAAACTACAGCCCGCGGGCCACATGCAAATACAAATACTGTTTTTGTTTTTTTACTTCAAAATAAGGTATGTGCAGTGTGCATAGGAATTTGTTCATAGTTTTTTTTTTAAACTATAGTCCGGCCCTCCAACGGTCTGAGGGACAGTGAACTGGCCCCCTGTTTAAAAAGTTTGAGAACCCCTGAGCTAGAGGCTCAGGGGCTCAAGAGCCAGAAGTCCTGGTCTCACCTGTAGGCCGAGCCCAGCAGCTACGGCCTGTCCCAACTCTGCAGACCCCTGAGCACTCTGGGCCACTCGAGGAGGGAAGGGTGAGGGGTGGCACTGCAGAGGCTGTGTGGGCATCTGCCTTAGGGATCAGGCCTCACACTCAGACATGTCCTAAGCCCCTATGGCTCCGGCCACCACAGAAGACCTTTCACTGCGCATCAGAGGGGGCTTGTGGGTTCTGAGCCTCCTGTCCACCCCACATCGCAGCTCAGGTCAAGGACTTTGGGCCCAAGGAGGCCAGAGTGGAGGCTTGTGGCTCCAGAAAGCCCAGTCCCTCTCCTGGCCACCTCCCCCCAAATGTGAATCACAATGAAATACTTGAAGTCCTCTCAAAAAACTTACTGGAATTCTGTGTTACTCTAAGGTATGCTTTTACCCGTGGGTGTCCCTATGGGCAGGCCCATATGTGCCACTGAACCAACAGCTGTCCTGCTTCCTCACACACCTGGTGACCCTCTGTCTGCAAAGCCACTCGCTGCTCGTCCAGAAGCCAGATGGGGGCAAGAGGCCCTTCCAAACCAAAGCATGTCACAGCCCCCAATGCTCAAGCCAGCTTCCCAGAGACCAGGCAACGATGGCTCCAGGGACAGGCAGGAGGGCCCCCAAGGGCTCCCCGGCCATGTGGCAGGAGCCAGGCTCTCTAGGGGCAATGTAACTGTTTATTTTGATTCCAGAACCTCAGATGGTATCCTAGCAGGTGCCAACATGAGCATCTGAGAGCCCTCCCACTCCTATCCCCCATCTGTGGAGCCCAGGATTTGAAGGCGAGGATTCTGGCCCAGAGGAGCAAAGAGCAGAGCAGCTGAGGCCAAAGGGCCCTGGGCGGAGGCCTCAGAAAAGAGAAGAGAAGCAGGACTGTTCCCAGCTGCCTCGAGCCTTGCTGGCACCCAACACACCAGCCCGACCTGCTGCACCTTGACGTGGGATGCCCTGCTTCACCAGGGACCTCCGGCAGGTGGAGGAAAGCTGGTGTCAGGCCCAAGGCAGGCAGGTGGCTTTGTTCATAGCTCCCTGGGGCAGAGGTCCAAGCATGCCAGAGCCATGGGTGCAGGAAGATACGGCAATGCAGATGGACAGGGAAAAGGACCGTGTCCTTAAACACAGCCTTTCCTGCCTTCCTGAAGCTGAGCTGGCTCTGGGCTGCAAAGAGGCCTTGGCACAGGCTCTGCCCCAAAGAGTCAGGGGCTGCAGGAGGGGCGACTATGGAAACTGAGCCTGGCTGTGCTATGGGGACTGATGGAAGGAGCATGAACTCAGAGCCAGAGAGAGGGGGGCAGGCTCCCCACCGGTCAGCCCCTCCCTGAGTAGTCAGAGCACCCGTAGGCCCCCAACTTCATGAGGATGGTCACAGCACCACCCCAGGCTGGGCAGGTCCCGAGCCCAAAGGCTGAGTGCTATTACCTGGAAGGTAGATGTCGGTGGGTGGGCCAGGCTGGCAGCACCCACAGGGCTCAGGGCTGCCATCCTGGAAGACGTTCTCAATGGAAGGTACACGGCTCCCTGCAGAGGAGAGAGCAGGTCAGGGACCCACCAGCAGGGGTGGGTTGGGCCACTCTGGCTGAGACCCCCAGGAGCCCGCCTTTCATTCCCGAGGACACTGCAGCTGCTGGGGCCCTTGGTCTCCTGACTCCCCCTCTGCTCTCCCTGGACCCTATTCTCCCTCTCTTTTCTTCTCTCACACCCCCAGTATGGGGCTTCTGTTTTATTTTTATCATTAAAAAAAATGCCCAAGTTTAAAAAACAAGATAAAATGGTAACAGATATAACTCTCTGTTGATCTTCCTGGGTGAGCAGGCTGACAGCCCCTGGTCCACACACACCACAGCAGGTCCTGCATGGACACGCCCCTGGGGGCCTCCAGTGTGGCTGCTCCTCTCACACATCAGCTCTCAGCCTCAGGCCTGCACGGTTCTCTCTCCTACAGAAAGGGGTCTGGCCCCTGTGACAGGGCACAGCAGAGGCTGCCCAGTCCCAGCACATGCTTGGCACCAGCAGGAAAAGCCAACCCTGAGGGAGGTGGGGAGCCAAGGCCTGAGAGGCAGAAGGGCTTGCCCTGCACCAGGCCAGGCAGGCAGGGATGGCACGGTGCTTCCAGGAATAGATACCCCTAAACCTGGGCACCACCCGCGGGGTAGGGGGCTGCTTCTGGAAGGGATGTGGGCCCCCACAGTGCAATGCTGGCCAGGGGACCCCCGGCAAGAAGGGGTTACAGCAATGGAGCGTCTGTGGGTTATTTTGGGGTCCTTTACCAGATTGCAGGCTTGGGGGGCAGCCAGCAAGGGCCACTCCTGGCTCTATTACCTCTAAATTAAGTGGCCTTGACCTCCCCCCAAACCAGCCCTGAGCCTGTTTCCTCACCTGCCCACACTGGGGAGAAATGACCAGGACAGCAGAGAGATGGCGTCTCCCCAGCCAGCAGAGGGAAGCACCTCATTATGTCCCACAACCACTGTGAGGTCAGGCAAGGTCATCCCCTGACTCAGAGCCAGCACATGTGCTGGGCAGCTGGGTCCTGACCCTGTAGGCTGCTACGTACTAAAACTTCCATCAAGAGAGGAGCCAGCCCCCCACTCCCACACGGGAGACCTGGACCTAGCTGAGCCCTCTGCCCACACAAAGGCCCTGGATCTGTCCAGGTGCTGGCAGGACTACCAAGGGATGGGAACAGCCCAAGGCCAGGCCGGGAGAGCTGACCACGTGCAGAACGATCCAGGTGGGATAGAAAATGGCCACACTACCCGATGCTGATGGCGGGAGGGAAAACCAGGAGCGGCTGCGGGCTGTCCTGAGACACTGTGCAGTGGTTCCCAGGAGAAACCCTAGGGGATCTGAGCTGGAGACCTCTGCCCTCCCGACAGGCAGCACTGGAACCCTGTCCTTCAGAAGAGGGCTCACCTTGCTTTAGCGATGACCTCTCGTCAACCTCCTCCGTGAGGAAACTCTAGGAAACAAGGGAAAATGAGCCTGGAGCTATGTTGCTGACCCAGGACTGGTGCCAACCTCCACTGAGTGATGGCAAGGCAGGGCAGGCCCGGGCACACCATGAAACAGGTCTCAGAGGCAAACAGCAAGCAGTGGGGACTCAGATCTCAGGTGGGCAGGACCGAGGGGGGGCCAGGACGGGAACTCACCTCTGGGGAGCTGCTCAGCACCAGCCCAGCCCCACTCGGCAGGGGAGGGGCGTCCGAGTCCTGGGAGAGCTTCTCCTCATCCTCTTCGTGGATGGGGGATGATGGGGACCGCAGGGTGCTGGGCAGAGAGGAGGGTAGAAGACAAGTGGGTAGAAAAGTGACCTTACCAACGCCAGCTCCACCTGAGGGTGAGCCTGCATATGTTGCCTGGAGCTGCGGGCAGATGCGCCCGGGGAGTTGTGGGCATCAGCAGAATGCCAGCAGGGTGCTAGCTAGCAGCATGGAGGCTGTCCACCTGGGCACTTGCAGAGGCCTAAACACGGCTTTTTATTTTATTTTTTAATATATTTTTATTGACTTCAGAGAGGAAGGGAGAGGGAGAGAGATAGAAACATCAATGATGAGAGAGAATCATCGATTGGCTGCCTCCTGCATGCTCCCCACTGGGGATTGAGCCCGCAACCCGGGCATGTGCCCTTGACCGGAATCGAACCCGGACCCTTCAGTCTGCAGGCCGACACTCTATCCACTGAGCCAATCTGGCTGGGACCTAAACACGGCTTTTTATTTCCAGAAGGAGAGGACAACTGTGATGGCGTACTTCTGGGCTGGAGGGCTGGGCAAGGGAGGCAGCAGGAGATTCCCAGGATTCTGCATCTTTGAAGTGAGCCTGCCATGTGTATTAGTCATGGGGCCACAGTTGGTTTTATGGAACCTGTGCCTTCCTTATACTTCCCCAGTAAAAAGCCAGCATGTGTGTGAGGAAAGACTCCCAATCAAGGCCGGCTGCAGGGCCTAGCAAGTGTCCAAGGAGCCATGATGGGCCCTGGGATGACAATCCTGGTTCGCCAGTCGCACAGCAGGATGTGCCCATGTGACCAACCCCCAGAAAGTCCCAGGACCCTGAAACTCAAACAGCTCTCCTGGTGCGACAGCGCTCACGCCCCTGCGGTGTGGCCTGGGACAGAGAGGGCACCGGCGCCTCTGGCCTTCACTGATGCATTTCACTCCTGCTGCCTTTGCTGAGATCAACTTTACCCGGGAGCCTAACCCGCTACTGGTCTTGTTGGTCTTTCTGGTGATCACCAAACAAAACACGTTATAAAATTATTTAAAACTACAAATCACCTTGCTTTGCACTTCTTTTCTACTAGCATACGCCTCCTGTGCCCTGGCCCACAAGCAGGCGGGTGGGTTCCCAGACACCCTTCCCAGAGGGAATCCCGGCCTCGGCCCTGGCCTCACCTGTCGGGGGATTTGCTCCGAGACTTGCCCTTCTGGTGGCTGCTTTCCATGATGCGATCAAGCCCAGCAAGTGGGCAGCTGGCCTGGGACAGACCATCTGAGACGCCCGAGTAGGTGATCTCTTCGTACAGGGGAGCCGAGGGGAGGGCCGGGGAGATGGCCTGGAGGCCGTTGAGTGCCTCAAGCAGAGAGATGGGCTCATAGCCTGGCGGGATGCTGTCCAAGCTCTGAGGGGACAAGAGCGGGTGAGGGAGGGGTTGGCTAGGCTCCCTGCCCACTGCCCGGGCTTATGCCCGAGATGGTCTACTCCCCAGCACCTGCTTTCTGACCATCTCCTGTGGTCTCCACCTTCCAGGGGTTTAAGTCCTCCCTCCGCAGAGGGCGCCAGGAGCTCTAGAGCAGCACCAGACGCCTGCCCAGGGATCCCTCGCCATCAGTGCAGCACAGCCTTGAACACCAAATGCCCATTTGACAGGAAGGGAGAGGGCATCTGGAAGAGCCACCCATTCCGAGCCTCAGACAGCCCCGACCTGGCTTTGTGTTCCTGCTGGGCAGGGGGCAGAGAGTGAGAGGGGTTAGTGAGAGGGGCAGGTGGAGAGCAAAGCCATGCCAGAGTTGAGAGAAACCAGGGAACCACGTGTTCTAGACCAGGGAGGGCCTGGTCCCCGGGGAGCTCTGCCCGACAACACAAACATCTGGCCCAACACGAGATCCTCGGTGGACCTGGGCAGGCATCCAAGGGATGACGTGTGATTCTGATGGGCCCCCTGGTTCAGAACCTCGGTTTCCCCCTTGCTGGGAATAAGTCACATCAACAGGCTGTGTCTGGCTTTAGGGTTAAAGGTGAAGGGAGAAGGGAAATGCTCGGGTGCTGGGCATGGCAGTGCTGGGCCCCTGTAGAGTGGGGCAGCCACCTGTCCTCACTCACGTTAAATAAGGTGAAGGGTAAATGTCCACAGTGCTCCCTACGTGAAACCCTCACCTGCCCATCTGTTTCTTTAATGTTTTTATTGATGTTTTAGAAAGAGAGAAACATCAATCAGTTGCCTCCTGCACGTCCCCTACTCGGGATCGAGCCAGCAACCTGGGCATGTGCCCTACCAGGAATCAAATTAATTATTTCTTGGTACACGGGACGATGCTCAACCAACTGAGCCACACCGGCCAGGGCCACCTACCCATCTGACTGGCAGGAAGGAAGGTGGTAAAGCAATCCTGGGACCATAGA